GGTGCATGCTTGACATGCGCCTAAAGCATACCGAATCTCACGAGAGTTTTGAGGACTTTAGGGGGGGAGGGAGGATAGAGGAAAAAGAAGAGAAACAAAAGGATGGAAAAAAAAAAGAGAGCAAAAGTCAAACTCAAAGTCCGGCGCTTATATAAAGGACCTAAAAAGAGAAAACGTCCGAAGTAGAGCCAAAGTTTTGCGTATAACGGCACTGGAATCTGCATAGAAGGGAAGCGGCCTCTTCTGGAAACCGACCCCCGTCAACCGGCCGACGCCATGTCTTGGAATCTCTTGTTTTTACCCCCTGCAGCACAGCACTGGCTAGCCTGGGCGGAACTATCCCTATCCTGGTGGCACATCCGGCATGCTGCGTCTGTGTGTGTGTGGGAAGGGGAAAAGTGAGTGAACGCAGATGGGGAACGTAGAGAGGGCCTGACACGGCACGATAGACCATTGGTCGTTCGCCCGACACACACTTGGACGCACTTGGACTAGCGCACGATCGGTGTTCCAATATGAGTCTGCGATGAATTGGGATGAAGAATAATACGAGGGAGAGACCAAAAGGAGAGAATCCGACGTTGAACGAGCTCGACTCGGGGATGGGGGCCAAATCGGAGAATGCTGCACTGCCACGCACAAACGGCATGCTACTACAGAGTTACACTCGAATAAGCAAGCGGCCTCGCCTCGGTAACAGGGTCGAAATGCAGTCAAGCAATCTCCATGTGCGATATATTATACATGGTATCGGCAACTAGGGCGACGCCTCCTTCTGGCCCCCCCCCCCCTCCCGCGGCTCTACCCACTGCTCTGCCGTGCCGTGCGTGCGTGCGCGTCCCGTCAAGGGGTCAATGTCAATATATGCGGGCTAGCCCCGACGTCTCGAGACGATGAGTACGGTGGAGGATCGATGAGGGCCCAGTTCCCGAGTTCCCCCCGTCGTCCTTGGGGTATTCAGTTGGGCAGGGTGGGGGAGGCTTTTGGCGATAGGCTCAATGTTTTAAGGAATATTGATCTGTTGCCGGGGTCCATCGTCGATAGTTTGCTGCGAACTTCGCAGACGGGTAGTAGACCAAGGAGGCACGGATGCGGTCGTTGTTTGAAAGCGTTTGAAGTCTGTGGGGGACAGGTGAAGGGCCGATGAGATTCACGGCTGCACGAGTGAACGGATATTACAATGTACATATCACTCAGATACAGCAAGCCAATCATGTATGGCATCTCAGCTGGTATCCCTGAACTCCTACTGATGATGTTTGTCACGTCAAGAATCGTTGACAAGGTCAGGAATGCGGGTGCGCTACAGATTCCAACGCCCATTGCGCGTCGGAGTATCGGAACGAGAGAGTCAGATAATAACTTACTAAAGACTTATCCAATTTCATGTAAAGGCTGCATATAGCAGAATTATTACTCGCGTCACCCCCCCCCCCCTCTGCCAGGTTCCTCTTTTTCTTAGCGTCTCTTCTAGAGTCTAAACCCGATGTCCCATTGACGCTCGGTCGACGCCACATCAACGGCAATTATTGACGGTAATTCAGCCATCCATCCTTCCCGGCGCCGGCCGTGTGGACCTCAAGCCCGTTGGACTCACCATGTTTCCTTACCAAGTGTTGTTCTTGTCCTGGTGCAATCAGGAGTTGTCTGTCCACATACTTCTGTGCCCTGGCTCCCAGACTCCTTCCATTTCCGTGTCGTACGACACCAGGCGGGCTCGGATGGGGTATGGCTCCGTATTAAGTGCTGCCATGTCCTTGCTCTCATCCAACCGGGACCAGGGGTCCGGTCGCCGGTCACCCGTGGGTTGAGAGGGGGGACCGTAAGGCAAAGACGAGCCAGGTCTGAGGATAGAGATTAGGATGGACTCAGTCCCGGCGGTCGGGCCGGGGCCGGAGAGTCATTCGTTCGGCCTTGTTTTGCTGTCATGACCTAGATGGGGGTAATCATTCGAGCAACACGGTTTTTATTTATTCGTGGCTGAGAGGTGTGTGTGCGTGCTTGTCAGACCCGGCGGATCTCGGACTCTTGCCAACCTTTTACGTCAAATTAAACCATTATACGCGATGTCGTGTCTTGCGCAATTGCATATTGCCGGTTATATAGGGGGTCTGACATCGAGAGGTAGAGTCAGCCCTTTGATTCGCCCGCCCATCCTTACAAGTTACCACAACCCCCTTTTCCATCTCGTGGGAAGATGGATGCTTGCAAAGAAGGCACACCCTGTTCATGCGAGCACGGACATGTCTTGAAGCCCAGAGAAATCGCTTCCTGGTTTTTTTTTGTGTGTGTATCCGTATCCACTGCGGATTTACGATGCACGTATTAGAACACGCGGATCTGGTTCCACGGTTCGGCGTGTCCCTGCTCCTTGCTTTTTGCTTACTTGGTTCTTGCTCGCTTGCTTGCTTTTGTAGGGCAGAGTACTCCGTAGATGGAGTCTAGATTGATTAGTTGCTTGGCCAAGGCAAATAGCCTGTAGGGCAATCCAGAGACAGTCCGCGTCTCTCCCCCTTGTCCTCCCCAGGTATGGTTGCCCAACCCACAATATCCCCTTCGGTTCCCATCAACGGGTTGTCAAATGTGAAGTGTCAAAAGTCAACTGCAATACGACGCCTTGTAGACCCGAAACCTCGGTTCCGTGCTGTCTGGCGCCCCGATGCGAAGGGAAAACTGACGCGCTGGCGGGAGACGATCTCGGCTGCAAGTTTTTTCTTTTTCTTCTTTCCAGCCCCGATGCTATTTCCTTGGAGAGGGTGTTTGGTCTTTGTGCTGCCCCCTCCTCCTCGGACTTGCTCGAAAAACCCCTCGGAAGTTGAATCCTTGGCTGTCGTCCGTGCTTGAAACGAACGGCACATGTCCAGTCCGTCCTAATATCCAGAATTTTCAAGCGAAATCCGAGATGGCTTTCCACCTACCCTTTGCATGCTCCTGCGACAAATTTGCTGGGTATTAAGGTTTTTGACTATCGCGAGATCGATGCTCTGATTTCTGACGTTCCGGTACCAACATTGACAACCCCCCGACGAACGCAGTTCTGGGTCTGACACCACTGGATCGGGCGGTTTGAGAACGTACGAACCACGCCGTCGGGGGTTTCACCGGTGTTGCATGTCCAGTAGCCTTCAAAAACCTTCCGGCTCGCGTCACATATCACATCGCCGTTCAGGAAGGCTTCGAGATCAACCTCTCCTATAGTAACGCCATGTGGCCCCCCAGCGGACTCGCTTAGTGCGCGTATATGCACGTACGACTCAGCTTCCTAAGATCGGCAGAAACGGATCTGACTTTTAGCTGAAGTACATAGTAGGCTTCGTCCCTTGCATTGATCGAGATCGAATCAAAGGACCCCCCCCCCCCCCCCCCTTTTTTTTTTCTTCCCTCTGTGCTGCTGGTGGATATGTTTCCGAAGTTTGTTCGTTGTCGGCCGTCCCCAGCACCAGGCCGTAAGGCGCCTTTGAAGGTTTCCGAGGCAGTGACCGGGTTCGAAAACATCGCAGATGATCGGACGATATCTTGCAAGATGCCGGAAAAGCCGCGTCTGTACCTCCGGAACCGAGTCAGCTTCCCCCACCCTCCTTCTGTGTATTTTCCGACGCGCATAGCTACCCAAGGTCTCCTAAACACCACAGCAACAGTTGGCTGTGTTAGTTTTATGAGCCGGTGTTGCAATACCGGTCAGTTTCACTCGTTTCACCGTAGAATGCAAGTTTGTAGTGGAACAGCCTGCGAGGTGTGCTCAACGCAGACTATAGCCCTGATGAATTTATCAAAAATCCGATGATACTCGTGGTGTAAACCAATGCCTCATAAGAGTCCGAAACCATGGTTAACAGTAGGGTATATGAGACGTCTGCTTCGCGAGTCAATCGTTTCATCTGGAGCCGAGATCGCTTGGCATATATGTGTGCTAGAAGGATGACTCGATCTGAGCGTTCTCGCATCTTGAACAACATACCATGAGAATAGGTATGGAGGAAACACGGATCAGATCTGACTGAACCATGGCGGAACCAATTCTCAAACGTGAGAACAAAATTTCCATTAACGCTCAAGTCAGTTTACCATGGCGCTTCATAGCAATACCCAAACTAACAGCACTTTTCGGTGGAAGTTCCGCATTGCCCATTATCCTTACTGGAGGGAGGGGTTGTTATCCGAGAACACGTCCCTGGTTTCTTGGTACATCAGAATTACAAAGCCGAGGTAAAGACGTTTTCTCATAACCCTGTTGTTAAAGCAATATTCCTGGCATACTAATTAAAACGCCTTGATGACTGGATTTATGTTTGTTATAGGCATAATGGCTAACCCCATAGTAGCCCCATCTTATACACTTTCTTAATATGCCTTTCAGATGTGACGTTTGTTTATTTGTCAGTATCGGCCTTTCGGATGCTCAGCGGTAACATCAAATATACACCCAGGATTAGTTAGCTCCTTAGTCTATGGTTCTATAGGTAGTTGGGCAGCTCCCGGGCCTGAAATAGCTGTTTCAAGAACGCAGGTTTCACCTAGTATATGGATTATCGATCTTGACACACTAGATGGCCTCTTTTTATAGTCAACTATCATCCGGTGCGCGAGCCATTCCAAAATTTGGAAAAGAGAGATGTGCACGTAAAGGCATCATACACCAATACTGAAAAGAGTAACTGCGATGCTGTCACGAGTAGAATGAGGCACTGGAGGCACAAAAAGTGAATTCGCGATTGCCATGCTGCAATCGTGACTTATATATCACGTCGTGACAGATGCTTTACTAAAACCCGGAGTTGGCAGAAGCCTTCCGGAAGAAGAAAAATACACAGGAAAAGCGGCCTACCTTGACCAATAGCTGACTACACACAATTCGTAACCCAGCATCATGGTGGATAAGACAGATAAATGGTTTTTATCTACATTTTGGTAGACAGAGCTGACAACTCTGCTAAACAGAGAAGACAAAAAACATGAGGGGAAAGAATACGGTGATTATATTAAGATATGGCAAAAATTTATGATCAGTGGGAGGCTTGAACTCCCGGCCTTGGCATCACTTAACACTCCGGATAGACTATTAGTACCACGCTCTAACCAACTGAGCTAACCGACCTGATGGTTATTGACCAACGCACCCGATTTGCAAGCTGAGTACTCCACCGCCCCATGCCGATCTCCGATTTGAGCCGAGTCGGGGCCGTCTGGGCCCTTCAAGCCATCCTGTTGTATTCATCAAAGACAGCGTCTGGTATGTTGTAAGGAAATTAAAGACAGTATATCTTTGACATGAAGTCTCTCTCACCGCCCCCTCCCGCCCCCCTCCCAAGAGACTCGTCCCGACTTATGGATCTCTCACCGCACCAACCTGGCCCTGCGAGGGCACGTCGGTCCACGGGAACTCGGGCCGCATCCACTCGAACGTGTCCAAGAGATCGAACTCGAAGTCCAGCTGCTCGGTAAAGTCCCGAGTCGTCCCGTCCGCCGCGGGGTTGCCGCCGCGGGGCCCCGCGTTGAGCGCCTCGTCGAGCACCCGCTGCACAATGTTCCTGCACCCGACGCAGATGCTCCCGTTGACCTCCTGCGGGCTGACCCATTTCAGAAACGCCACCAGGAGGCTCAGCGCCTGCACGATGCTGGACCTGGTGATGACGTTCCCCTTGCTGTCGGTGACCGCGGCGCCGGCGTCGTTGGCCGTCACGGTCGGTTTCAGGAGCTCGAGGCAGAGGATGCCGCCGCCCGGAGCGGCGTATGCCATCACCTGGGCTCGCTTGTCAGGAATACTCTCTCTCCGAAGATGGTTCTCTCTCTCTCTCTCTCCGGGGGGGACACTAACCAGCCACTTGAAGTCTTCGCATAGAATGCGGAGCCCGTCCACGTTGGTCCAGAATAACAAGGTGACCGACGTCATCTCGTAGCTGACCGCCAGCAGTTCCCGCCCGTTGGAGCTATCCAGGCGGTTCAGGAGGCGCTCGATGAAGAACAGGTTTTGGAGGTGCTCCAGCAGCGTGAGCAGCCTGATGTGGAGGACTTGGCCGCTGATGTTGGGGTCCCTGGTGTCCGACTCGTTGAACTGCATGGCGGCCGGCAACTCAGCGGCGGCTTCGAGCTCCTTAACCTTGAGGGCACTATCAAAGGGCCTGATTTAGCATTTCGTAGGCTCTAGTTTTTCCCCTCCCTCCCCCAAGCTAGGTAAGGGCTTTTCTTCCTTACCGTACGGCGTCGCCCGAGATGGCCGACTCGGCGCCCAGCGCGATCTCAAAGATCTCGTCCCGGATCTGCATGAAGCGGTAGCGGACGCGCCACATCGTGACGGAGTACAGGGAGCCGTCCGTGTTCCAGCCGAGGGCGTCCAGGGAGCCCATGGCCTTGGCGATGGTCTCGTCGTCCGACATCAGGACGTCGTCGCTGATGTCCAGCGGCATCGGTGTCGAGACGTAGCGCCGGCTCAGCGCGGGCGGCCGCCCCGTGATGGCGGCGCCCACCTTGTCGAGACTGAAGACCTTGAGAAGCAGGCGGCGCCGCAGCTCTGACGCCAAGGTCGGTTTGTACGGCTGCTTGGTGTGCTCGGCGTGTAAGCCAAGAAAGGTAAGTAGAGAAGCCATTTCGCCGCCGGTCATCCAAGTAGAGAGGCCTGGTTGACCGTGTTAGTACGAAACTCCCTGCTAAGAGGCCCGAGACGTTGAAGGAAAGAAACGGCACGGTAAAGCCCGTTGTAGAGAACAAAAAGAAAACTCACCAGTGTCTCCGTCTACAATGGATTCGATAATGGTCCGTCGGAAATACAGGTAGAGCAGGAGACTATTCCCCATGGCAGTGGCCTGCCGCGCCAACGAGGTGCAGTCGATTATGCACTTGCGGAACTTGCTCTTCTGCCCGTACCCCATACGCCCGACGTCGGTGTGGCCGAGCTGGCTGGTCCTGGCCTTCATCTCCCAGTTGACGAAGAGGATGCCGAGCATCTCCCAGCGCATGTGGCGCCCGGTGAACTGGGCCATCCACGCCTCCCCGTCGGGCTCGTGCTCGGAGAAGGGCCGGGCCGAGTTGCAGCACAGGATCCGGGCGAGCTCCGACAGCTGGGCGTCGTCCCGGGCGGGCCCGAGGTAGTGGCCGAACGTCTCGTACAGGGAGTCCATGGCGCGCCTCGAAACCGGGTGGATGAAGGCGTTGTGGGGGTCCGAGTACGGGTCGAACAGGGCCTTGGCCTCGTGCTCCTTGGGGACCTGCCGCAGGATGTTCAGGCAGGTCTCGAGCGTCTGCGCATCTTCGGCGAGAGTCGTGCTGTCTTTCCAGAGCGGAGGGCCGGCTTGGCCGTTGGCCTGGGCGGCCTTTTCGGCTTCCGAGCCGTGGTTGAGGAGGCCGTTCCCGACCTCTTTGTACACGTCGCTCCACGAGGTGAAGCCCAGGTGGCCGGACAGGGTGTCGTGGATGCTTATCTCGCGAGCCGGTCTCTGAGGGCCAGGCGTATGCTTCTCACGGCCGAACGGACTGCTTTCCGGGTCCTGGTCGACGAGCGTCGTCGCGGTCGGGTGTTCGTATTGTTCGGTGACAGCCTCCGAGCCCGTCACGCTGGCCGAGCGCGACGTGCGCGCCGAGGCGGCATTAGCCCGCGCCTGGGCCGGCGTGCCCATCGTGTACTCGCACGGCTCGGCCCTTCGCCTCCTCTTGCAGTTACTGCAGACTGGACGAGAGTGGTCGCAGGCGACCTTGCGCCGCCGGCAGGGGTCGCACGCCTGAAGTCGACCATTCTTCCGGTAGCGCATCGGTGAAGAAACGGTCTCCATGTCTCTCAGACCGAGTACATAAGGAGCCGCTTACTTGAATGACGAGTGATTCCAGCATGGGATTTAGAGGTTCAGAACGCGCAGCCAACTCTCCCATCATTGGTGGTTTTGTCTGTCTCACTCGCAGAAGGACATATCAATAAAGCCGAACTTCTTCCCGAACTTCGGGAACAAGTTCGGCTTCGGGCAGACTTATGCATATCCTTGCCAAGGTGTGGCTGGTGTAACCCGAACAACCAACCCTTGAACACCTAGTCCCTGGGAGCTGTGTTTTCCCCATATCTCCTCGCGGTTAAATAAGAACCCCATATCTCGCTTTCTTATTGCACAATTCGCATTATGCGGGCCCTTTTCCGTCTAGGATAAAATCAGCGTTGCCTGTTCCGACAAGGTAAAGCGGTCTGTCAGTCCCAGCAGCGCGGCAATTCAGTCATGACTCTCTGCCGATGGCACCCCCCGATGCCGGGCAAAACGAAGGGGGACTGGGGACAGAATCTGTTTTATGTGTCGAGTTGCAGCAACTCCGCCGTCATGTCCGTCGCCGCCGACGACGCCGCCGCCGAGGTGAAGATGAACCGGCTCGCCCGCTGACTTTGGTCGCAAAGGGGCATCATCGGCTCCTACGGCATCTCCCAGACCTACTACCAAGCGCACATGGCCGACGCCTCCGTCGACGCCATCGCCTGGATCGGGCCCATCCAGTCGTGCCTCCTCCTCATTGTCGGCGTGCTCGTCGACCCGCTCTACGACGCGGGCTACTTCCGCAGCCTGACGCTCACGGGCACCGCCCTCGCCACCGGCATCGCGACGACCGGCAGCAGCTTCGGCGGCGTCATCTACCCGCTCGTCGTCCAGAGCCTCCTCCCGCGCGTCGGCTTTCGCCTGGGCCATCCGCGTCTTCGCCTTCGTCTCTCTCGCCACCAACGCCTTCTCCTTCGCCGTGCTGCGCCAAGCGGAGCAGCAGGACCCCCGGGAAACGGCGCCGCCGCGTCATGATGGACCTCGCCGCGTACCGCAACGCCTCGTTCGTCATCTTGTCCGCGGCCATGTTCTTCAACGTCTTCTCGTATACGCCGCCCATTTACTACCTGCAGCAGTACTCCCTCGCCCACGGGCTGGCCAGCCGGGGCTCTTCGGGACCGGCGTACTACCTTGTCGCCATACTGAATGCGGGCTCCATCCTCGGCCGGGTGTTCCCCGCGTGGCTCGCGGGCCGCTACGGGCCCATCAACGTCCTCCTCGGCGTGTGCATCTCCGTCGCCACGGTGACCATGTGCTGGCTCGCCGTGCGCACCGGCGCTGGCAGCGTGGCCTTCGCCCTCGCCTACGGGTTCACGTCCGGCGGCCTCATCTCGCTCCCGCCCACCGTGGTCTCGATCCCGGTGCCGCATCTCAATTTGCACGAGACATGGCTGGGAATGTTGTCGACGACCAACGCGTTCGGCTCGTTGGCTGGCCCGCCCATTGCGGGCGTTTTGCTTGAGAAAACCGGTAGTTACCTCGGCGTTCAGTTGTTATCAGGTCTCGGCATGACGGCGATGGCGATGCTGGTTCTGTTGCTGAGGATGACGGGGATGGAAAAGGGTCGGACCTGGATAATGTAAAAAGAAAAGAAAAATGAAAGGAAAAAAACAGATCACTTCCATGTTGCAGCAACGTATCGCATTGATACTGGACGATGAAAACGCATGGGATTCTGTTCTGGAAGAAGCCAGAGGACTTCTTAGCCTATGATGAGCGTAATCTATATCTCTGATTATGTTGTATATCTTGTGCCAGGAGGCAAGGCCTCACCTAATTCTATGTAATCATCATAATCATCATAATCATTAAGTCTCGGTTTGGGCCTCGGCAGCCTTCTCCTCGTTCCTGCTTCCGTCGCTCCGATGCCGCCATTCCCTCGTCAGGAATGTCAAGGCGACCCCGAGGCCCAGGCCGGCGAGCCCGACGCCCATGAACAGCGCGCCCCGGAACCCCTTGAACTGGTCCTCCTTGGTCCGGCCGCCGTTGTTGACGTGCACCTCGACGGTGCCGGCGAAGCCGACGCCGAGGGCGATGCCGTAGTTGACGACGGTGTTGACCAGGCTCGCGCCGATGCCCTGGTGCTCCTTCTTGACGGCGTTGGACAGGATCAGTGTGGCGGCGGGGAAGCTCATGTCCATGCCGAAGGGCATGACGAGCATGGACACGAAGATCTGCGCCCAGTAGACCTGGTCCGCGGGCGCCGTGGCCGTGAGGGTGACGCCGACGGTGAAGGCGACGAGCGCCATGGTCATGACGACGGGCGGGCGGACCTGCAGGGGGCCGAGGAGCTTCCCGGTGATGACGGCAGCCAGGCCGCCCGTCACGACGACGGGCGCGAACCACGCGCACGTCAGCAGCGGCGGGAGGGACCGGATCTCCTGGAGGATCTGGACGAGGTAGAGCGTCCACACGCCGAACGTCGCCCAGCCGCAGACCACGGCGGCGAGGACGAAGCCGACGTCGGCGTTGACGACATCGAAGGGGAGAAGCGGCATCGGCGCGTACTTGAACTCGATGAGGGCGAAGGCGCCGAAGAGGACGAGGCCGAGGATCAGCGGCACGAGGACCACGGCCGTGTCCCAGCCGGCGACGGGCGCCATGTTCCAGGCGAAGTTGAAGAGCACCAGGGACACGACGCCCGTCGCGGCGCCGGGGATGTCGAGCTCGACGATCATGGCCTTGAAGCCGTCAGGGGCCGGCAGCTTGGTCGGGGGCTCGGGGATGATGAACCAGCCGGCGACGGCGAGAATGGCGAGCCAGACGGACAGCGCCCACAAGGCCCAGGGCCACCAGGCGAGCGAGAGAACGGAGGCGAAGGCGCCGCCGACGACGCCGCCCATGGGGGCGACGGCGCCGAAGAAGGAGAAGACCATGGCCTTGCGGTGGCCCGGCGGGTAGGCGGCGCCGAAGAGGGCGAGGGCGTTGGGCAGGCAGATGGCCGGGCCGATGCCCTGCAGCACGCGCGAGACGACGGCGAGGGTGAAGTTGGAGTAGACGCTGAGGCCGGCGACGAGGGACCAGAGGGAGAACCAGGCGAAGCCGATGATGAGCATGCGCTTGTAGCCGAAGGCGTCGCCGAGGCGGCCCGAGAAGAGGATGAAGGTGCCGATGGTCAGGGAGTAGCCGGCGACGAGCCAGGAGAGGCGCGCCGGTTCATCCACGTCGAAGCTGCTGCCGATCACATGGAGCAGAAACAGGCTATCGATGAATGCGGCCTCTGGCAAAGGGTGTCTGTCAGCTCGTTTCATGCCGAAGCGTTGCGCGCATGTCGTCGATGCGATGCCCGCCCGAGGACACTTACGGGTACAGAACTGGGCCATGCAGCAAATAATGATGAACATGACTTCGCGGGGGAAAGACATGGTCTCGGCGAGCCACACGGACGGGGCATTGGACTGCTGCGGGGTGAGATTGCCGCCATCGTTGTCGCCGTAGACGCTCGAGGAGGCGTCGTCGTTGCTGGATATCGGCTTTTCGTCCTTGGGCGGGTTGACGTCGGGGGTCGCCGTCGCGGTCCTGTCTTCCGACAACGTGTGGACGCTCGTCCGGCCAGTTTGCCTCTCTGATAGCGATGGAGACGTCATTGTGAGCTGAAAGAGACTCCCGGCTATGTTGCGTTGGCTTGGGACGCCTTTTGATATCAGAAACAGACGGTCCAGGGGAGGAGGGCCATCGTCATAGAAAATATATCGGCGGGTGGCGGCCGAGTCAAAGTACGAGACGAACCCGCCCCATCAGTGACGCTCAAACGGCAGAGCAAAGCGGGAACGCCCTGCAGAGATAATCAGCCAGCCATACAAACCCTGTCCGAGAATGGAGTTAGAAACAGCGGGACAAGGGGGATGAAGAAAGGACATGGTGGCCTCGGAACGGGGGCCGGGGGGGGGGAGGCATCAAGGGCTCGGAATTACACGTGGAAATCCGGTGCGCGCGGGATCCAGAACCACCGCCACGGCGGTCCACGTTAGATTTGTAAGGGTCGCTTTTTACGAGTAAGCACACCTGGCTTTGGTTTCGTTTTACTGCATCTTTGGTGCCTTGGTGTTGATGCCAGTCCACTCTGCTACTGCTTTGACGCGCATGACGCCCGTCCTATGATCCTTGAGTATGTTTAAACAGTTTTACTTACATTAGGTCTTGCGGGGGTACATTCGTTCCCTTGCCCAAAAACACACCACTTTCCTACCTTTTTATTAGTAGGAAAAACCTATATCATTACAATATGCCTGAAAAAGTCTGCATTATGGCAAGTATACTACATCAAGTTATCGGACGCGGTGGGGGTATACGATAGGCTTCTGATGTACAGGTACTCTTAGATGTAGTCAAGACCGACCATTTTTGTTTCAACCAAGTGCCAGTGTCACCCCGGTGCGGGATGGCGGGAGGTACACTTGATCCAATATTGCAAGCATCGTGCCATGCAAGCTGGGGTAGGCCGCAGCTGCGAGAGGCCGAGGACGACTCTGAGATGGGAATCACAAACAAGCGGCGCGGTGGACGACTAGTTCATGGACTGCCCGATTTTGTTCCGGATCGATGGAATGCGGCCCTGTCTTGGGCAAGATTCGAACCCTTCCATGGCTGCGTCGCCGAGGCGGATCTGGTAGCCCCCTCCCGCTTCGAACCAGCCGCGTCTCTCGTACAGGGTAAAGTCCACGCCGTTGTTCATGAAGGTCGTCGTTGGCAAGGAGCGAACCGCTCAAGCCGCCCGCGACTATGATGACTTTCAAACAAGACATTGATGACGGAATCGGAGCGTCTATACGCACACGTGGTACCCTCTCGTTGCGCGATAGCCAGTGGGCGGTATGCGACTGGGCCATGCGGGGATAAGGTTTGAAGAGCTAGATTGGTAGAGGTAACCGTTTTATATCCGTGCTATATTAATCGTAAAATACTCGGAATCTTGGCTTGTCCTGCTGCGTCGCGGAACGACATGCCCAATTCTGAATCGCGTTCCACGCTGCCGCACGAAGGATTGGAGGGGCAGGCTTTCGTTCCATCTATCACGGCGACTTCGAGATACCCGAGCTCCAGGTTTACACCTTTGATGTTTGGCGCTGCCCGGGGCCGTGCGGGGGTATAGAGACATAAAGCTGGACTGAAGTTGTCGGTTCGTCTGGATTCGAATGCCTGGCAAAGTAAATCGCTCTGCACTGATCGCTTATGGCATCTTGAGCTCCTAGAACCATCATCCAATCTCCAGCTGTTTTCAAACTTTCCCCCGCCATGGAGGTTTCCCTGACTCTTCTTAGCTTTGGCTCCGGCTCCTTAGACGGCTGATAGACCGTTGTTCAAGAACCACGGTTCCTCGCCAGAGCCGGCCTTGTCGTTTCTGCTGTATTTACTCACTCCAGGAACCACCACCCTCCGCGTCGGCGTCAATGAGGTACACATCCCTAACCTTGAGCTGTACCGGACCATTTGCATACAGGCACACCCACTCAAGAGTCCTCCCCTGCGTGCCTTGCCGGCCGAATTCAAGTGGAGTCGGCCCAGACGGGCATGGAGGACCATTTCATAGCCGCTTGTCGGAATGGCTTTCCGAGGGTTCCGTTACGGCCCACGGGATCCTCCTCAAAGCTCCACATGTCGTAGTAGCATCGCCTTTTCTCTACACCAGAAGCTAGACGGATACTGAAGTTCGATTACGTCCACAAGGCGGGGGGGGGTAACCACGGCTTGTAGGCAAAACACCGCTCGCCGACATGGCGCGGGGTCGAGGGCAAGTCGATCACGACTAGCGTAGTGAGGAGCCGAGACAAGCAGGGGACAAACGTTCAAAATTCCCCGGTCCGTCCAGAAAATGCCGGGTTGCCGTCTAGGACTGGGGTCGGGTTACGTTGCAGGAGACACCTCCTCTTTACTCTAGAAATTCGGTGCGCGGCCAGTTGGCTATCAGACGCAGCTATATTACGAATCCGGGCATATAACGACAGTTGGTTGGTTCATCGGGCTCAAGCTGCACCGACATGGATGACGACCTTCATACGATCCTCGACATGCATCGGAAACACTGCAAGTGCCAAATGCTGATGGATATCGAGTTGGGGCAATGAAGCACTCCAGCCAAGGTGGATGATTAGCAAGCCGTCAAGTGCTGTATGTTTTCCGCGTCACAGGAACACCGCGTCGTTATTTCCATTACAAATATGCTAACGCAAAGGCGAACGACATTGATAATCCAGGTTGAGTGGTTGCTTAGCCGTCTGCCCTTGCAGCCAACCCGGGCACCCTCATCATCGTCAACCTCAAACAGCGAAGGCGCTTTACACGTCGATTCTCGAGCGTGATCCGAGCAAGATGAGAGAGTCATGCAACTCCGTACTTGCGTAAACCCGTAAATCCGTTGTCTGGAACTAGGGTGAGTAATCCCACACACTAAGGGCCCGTCCGCGTCGGGGCGGCCGCATATGCGAGTTGTTGCCAGTAAGCAGCCACCGACGGCGTCGAAAGACGTCGCACAAGGTCCGGCATATATCCTGCGTTCTCACATGCTAAAAGACCGATGTGGCAATCCAACGGCCGCGAGACCGCCGCCGCCGCCGCCGCCGCCGCCGCCTGGTGCCGAGCGGGTCGCACCGAGAGGTCTTGCGCGCGCGCGCGCGCGCGGTTTGGAACACTCACAGGGGGTACAAGAACTGCTTGTTCTGCAAGTCCGTCAGGTCCAAGACAGCAATGTCGACCTTGACCCTGACGACCTCGCCGTCCTCGCCCACCTGCTCGACCCAACCCTCCCGCTCGTCGTCGCTCAGGCCGGCGATGTACTCCAGCCTCTCGGCGTTCCTCCGCGCGAGGATGAACCGGATGGCCCACAGGATGAGCGGCGTGCCCACCCAGCTGACGGAGATCATGGACGCCCAGGCGCCGTAGAACCGCGGCCCGCTGCTGGGCGCCCAGATCTGCGGCGACACGAGGTTGCCGGCGCTGTAGCCCAGCATGAACATGACGTTGCGCGTCAGCTTCTTGGTGTACCCGGCCGCCGTCGACGTCGTCCAGCCCAGCGCGATGATGTACGTCACGCCGTACGTGCTCGCCGCCAGGATCAGGGACCCCAGCAGCGCCGTCTTGGACCCCCAGTCGATGGTCATCATGGCGACGCCGCCCGCCGCCGCCGGGAGGCACCACACCGTCCCGTGCAGCGCCAGGTTGCTCGGCCACCGGCGCAGGGCGAGCGTCGCGACGACGCAGCAGGCGACGCCGAAGCCGCCGCCCGCCGCGGCCACGAGCGTGGACCCGAGCGGCTTGATGCCGATGGACGTCGTGATGAGGTTCTTCTGCCCGTAGTTGAGGTTGTTGGAGTACATGAGGGTGAAGGACTGCAGCGCGAACAGCCACGACACGGGGTCCCTTATCGTCTCGACGAACTGCTCCTTCTTGAACCGCTTCTGCTCGATCGAGCTCTGCTGCGCGTGGTGCACGCGGCGGATCACCTGCACCTTCTCCTCGAGCGTGAGGAACCGCGCCTCGGCCGGGTTGCTCGGGTAGTCGAACCAGGCCCAGACGGCGAGGAGGAGGGTGAGGCCGCCCGTGACGACGTGGAGCAGCTTCCAGGGGAGGACGGGCCCGGCGGTCCAGAGCAGGCCGTAGGAGAGGAAGCCCGTGACGACGGGGGCGGCCTGGCAGGTGATCCAGAGGACGGGCTGCAGAAAGGACTGCTCGTGGCGGTTGAAGAACATGCCGATCGTCATCTCCATCGCCGGCACGATGACGGCCTCGGCGGCCCCGAGGGCGAGGCGCATCACGACGAGGCCGGCGTAGCGCGTCGCCACGCAGTGCAGGAAGATGATGACGGACCAGGCGAAGATGGTGACGGCGACGTATTTGCCGAAAGGCAGCTTCTGCATCAGGTAGTGGCCGGGCCATTGGAATGCCAGGTATCCTGGGGAGCGTAGCAAGATTGACCGTCAGCAAGCGATGGACCCAGATAGGTCTACGAAAAGAAGAGCCGCATACCGACGTAGAACATTGTGTTGAGGTTGTTGTACTGGGCTTGTCTGATACCAGTCTCCTCGAACAGACCCAGAATGGCGGCATAGCCGAGCGTCGACTTGTCGACCTATACGGGCCACTCGTGTAAGGGAATTGAGCCTTTCTATTTTCCTTCTTTTTTCCTTATTTTTCTTCGCCGCGAACGACTAAAGGACAAGAGCTTCTCGTGTCAACTTACAAACAACATGATATTGATCGCAGACAGCAATGTCATAACGCGGAGGTACAGCTTCCTGCGGATCTTCTTCTCCAGCTCGGGGGTGAGCGGCCCGAACTCTTCGCCGTGCTGCTCGAGCAGCCGTAGCGTCACGTCGGCATTCTTCTCCGTCACTGTCTTGCCCTTGGACGGGCTCGTCACCCGGGGGTCGACCGTCTTCTCGTCGGCCATGGCTGATGGGGGTTGGGGGGAGAAAGGGTAAGCAGTCGACGGCGCAGTCGGTCTAAGTCGGGGCGCGCCGTCTTCTTCCCGTGTGTTGGATAGAAAGCCCAAATGGCCAGCGTACGCACGTTTACTCCAAGGACACCCTCTGCAAGAGAACCTCAACAAGTTTGGTCCTGATGGCGCGAACTTATACGCCAAACGTGACACCAAAAAGGGCGCGGTGGAGCTCCCGTCGTTATCGTGTCGGACTCAATACAAAGACAGAGCTGCTCCCCCTCCCTGTCCAATGCCAAGTCTCTCTGACCTAGACATGCGTCTTTTCTCAGGCGTTTTTCGCATCCATCTCCGACCAAGAGACTGGTAACCAAGCAGCCCATGCATGTATGGTATCATCAGGAGCCCCGGCAACGGCCGGTGAGGAGCCAGCAAGCGGCGGCAGGATTCTTCGCGGAGGGGGGTTGATTGCGTGATAGCGGAGAGACATCGCGCATTGGGTGCTTGGCGCATCCTGGTCAACACAACCATCCCACAATGGGACGACGGTAGCTTCAATTCATTGTATCCTTTGATAACGACATATCACCGATGGCTTTGTTCGTTATATTCCAGAGACGAGAGTCATGAACCAGCTGATTCCGGCCGGGCCACGAATGCCCTCAGAATAACAGACTTTGTGAAACTTGGACTAGCTGGAACAAATGGCACCATTCTCGCGCGTAACACATCTGGGCTTGAAGATCCTCCGCCTGTCGATCGGAGACGGCAAATGAAAAGTCTCTTCCGATGGCACCACCCCGGAACCCGCGCCCCTTCTCCGTCTTCTCCGACGACCGGCGAGCCCACAGCCATGCTCATCAACCATCCCCCTACAGACATTGAGAGTACCACTGGTTCGAGACTTGGCACGTGGACGGGCTAGCGCAAACGGTGCACCCGGTCCATCCGCTCCCGCCGCACTGCCCCCACTGGGCCACCGTGCATCCCCCGGCCGGAGGCGGGCTCGCCGCCGAAGTCGCCGGGGGCGGCACCGAGCTCCGCGTCGTCGTCCCGGGCTGCGGAGATCCGCCCTATCCGGAGTCAGCTCACCGCTCTCTTTCTCTTTCTCTCAAACATGGACAGCATGACGAAGACAAGAAAGAGAAAAAAATAAAAAAAACAGAAGAAGAACAAAAGAAAGGAAAAGGAAAAAGAGCTCACCGTGATCCCGAACCACTTTAGGTCCTCCGCCCCCATGACCGGCACGCTGTGCCCGACGCCCGAGCCGTAGATTCCCTCGAGGTTCGGCCCGTAGACGTACTTGGTGTACTGCGCGCCCGGCGTGCGCGGCAGCGTCTGCTGCGGCGTCAGGCTGTAGCCGAAGACGCCCGTCCACTGCTTGATGGTCTCGTTCCAGTTGCGCGGGTACAGCGTCGCGTCGGCGCTGCCGTGGTAGATCTGCATGCGCGGCCGGGCGCCCGTGTAGCCCGGGTACATGTTGAGCGCCGTCTGCGCCCACGCCTGCTGCGTCGCGACCGAGTTGCCCTGCGAGCAGGTCGAGTTCCAGCCGTTGACGGTGCCGGTGTAGAAGCACCCGGCCGGCACGCCCGAGTAGACGATTCCGGCGGCGAAGAGCTCCGGGTAGGTTGCCGCCATGACGTTCTGCGTGTTTCCGTCAGCAAAAGAGGTCCTCCGCTTGTTTGCGTAGCCCAGGTGTTTCCCCCTCGTATAAGGAGAGGGGACACTCTGTTTTTCATTCCAGGACAAGCTGATGAAAAGCACCGCGCGCGCGCGCCAACTTACCGTCATCATGGCGCCCGACGACGTCCCCGTCACAAACACCCTGCTCTTGTCCCCGTTATACCTGCTGAGCGTGTACGTCACCATGTTGGCGATGGCGTTGCTGTTCCCGCCGCCGTTGTGCGTCAGCGTCGCCGGCGAGCTCACGTCCCAGCACGTGCCGCTGTACGGCGACTCGGGGTAGATGACGATGAGCCCGTACGTGTCGGCGTACCCCTTGTAGGGCGTGCCGGTGTAGTACGCGTTCGCCGTGCCGGAGCAGTAGTGGATCGCCACGATGATGGCCGGGTTCGCGGCGACGCGGTCCGGCACGTAGATGTACATCTTAGCCCCCGACGGGTTGGCGCCGAAGGACGTCACCTGCTGGAGGGAGGCGGCGCTCGCGAGGGACGCGAGGCCGGCGGCCGCGGCGGCGAAGAGGGTGGAAAGACGCATTTTCTTTTTGCTGCGTATGTCCCGGTGGGGGGCGTCTTCCGGAGGGGATGATGGGAGTTGGTGGGGAAGTTAATCGGCATGGGGCTTGTTCTGTCCGGGGATGATATAGGCGTTATATACACGATGCTTTCGCGTTGGAGCTTCCGTGAAGGCAACGGACGTGTTGACTCCGGAGGAGGGCAGGCTAGTGGCTGCAACCCCATCTATCCAATCTGAGGATATCAGCATCCTACCAGGTCATGATGCGGATGAGTCTTGAATCGAGGCTCGCCAAAAAAGGGCCTGTACCTTCTCGGGTTTTGAAGTCTTCTTCATCTGACTACATACACCACACTGAAAGGGGGGTTGTCTGGTCAAACCCTACCTTGCCTTGGTATGTACTACATGATTGCACTGTTGTCATAGGCTCTCCCGGTCAGAGAAACCAGATTTGCATATAAAGCCCGGCAGAAATACCCCAGTCAATTGGGAACACAAATGAACCACACAACTCCGGAACCCCCAATCGGAAGTAGTCTCCGCGTGTGGGTGGCCGTGATTCCGCCAATGAAGCTCGGCGACTTGTGCGGCCTGCCGAAACAAAGTGAAATAGGAAACGCTTCAGCTATATCTACGTAAGTGAATCCAATAGTTCCATCGCCTCGTGCCTTTCCAACAAAGCCATCTCAACCAAGAGTTGGTTGTATGGCAGACAACAAGACAACAGCGAACCCCCCTCTTCACCGGATACCGCAGCCGGCGTTCGCCCGTTGGTCTCCGTCGCCGTGTTGAGTGCTCACTGCAACCTTACATCCATCATTCCCCCCTGGCCCTCGCCGGGTGAGCGGAAGCGTTGTAAACAAGCCCCATTTACCGTGAACCTGGAGGGTGAAAGCTTGAAAGAGAGACCGCCACCCCCAGACTTGATGCGCCACGTGGGATGCAGTTCATCCGTTTAGCCTGAAGATCAAAGGTCGGTTGAGCCTCTCATCAGCATGCAGTTGGAATACCTTTACATGGGGGGTCGCATGACGGTCTCTTATTATGGGAGTTGCTACGCGGCGTCACAGGCCTGCATCTCGAGAAGACTTGTGGATGTATGCAAAAAATATTATTCTGGGTATCCGCCCGATGCTCGCTGGAGTCGAAGAAGAAAAGCCTAAAAGCTACGCTTATGCCTTATGCCACGCTATGAACCGCCAGACTATGACTATGATACTATGATATGGAGTAAAACATCGCCCCGCGCCGCTCACCGACCGGTCCGGCTCCGGAGCGTCTTCAGCCCCGTCTTGTGTTCCGTGTGCTTCTTGCTCAGCTGCTTCTGGCCGATGAAGACGCTCATGACGAGCCCGAGCGCCGCGAAGGCGACGTAGACGATGTACATGATCTTGAGGCTCGTCAGGTAGGCGCCGCGGGCGACGCGGCCCTCGTCGCCCTGCAGGCGCGCCACGACGCCGACGCTCGACGCGGCGCTCGACCCGGAGAGCATGTCGGCGAGCTCGGGGCCGAGGCGGGCCAGCAGGCGCGGGCGCTGCTTCTGCATCTCGTTGTTGAAGACGACGCCGCCGATGACGACGGAGATGGACGTGCCCATCTGGCGGACGAAGCCGAAGGCCGACGTGGCGGCGGCGATGTCGCGCGGGCCGACGGACGTCTGGACGGCGATGAGGGGCGCCTGGAAGTTGGGGCCGATGCCGAGGCCGGCGACGATCTGGTAGAGGACGATCTTGGCGAGGTTCCGGTCGGCCGGGAGGTCGTAGAAGAGGCCGAAGCCGACGGTGGCGACGAGCATGCCGCCGACGATGAGGTAGAAGTAGTTGCCCGTCTTGCGGATCAGCACGCCGGCGGCGGCGGACATGAGGGAGAGGGAGAGCACGTAGGGCAGCAGGTAGACGCCCGAGAGGAGGGAGGAGACGCCCTGCACGCCCTGGAAGTAGAGGGGCAGCCAGTAGCTGCCGGAGATGAAGGCGAAGGCGTGGCAGAAGGAGGTGGCGAAGGCCGCCACGTTGGACCAGCTGCGGAACAGGTGCATGGGGATGACGGGGTAGCGGGCGTACCAGCACTCGTTGACGACGAAGAGGCCGATGGTGAGGGCGCCGAAGACGAGGAGGCAGATGACGGTCGGCGAGCCCCACGGGTGGCTCACGCCGCCGAACTCGAGGCCGAGGAGGAACATGAGGGTGCCGCCGATGATGGTGACGGTGCCGGCCCAGTCGATGGCCCGGAGGCCCTCGAGGGCCGGCGTGCGCGGGTTGTGCAGCTTGAGGACGAAGAAGAGCACGACGATGCCGACGCCCGAGATGGGCAGGTTGATGTAGAAGCACCACCGCCACGTCACCTTGCTCGTGAAGACGCCGCCCACGACGGGCCCGACGGCCGCCGCCACGGCCCAGACCACGCCGAGGATGCCAAAGTAGACGCCGCGCTGGCGCATGGAGAAGAGGTCGCTGATGCAGATGTTGACGAGGACGATGATGCCGCCGCCGCCGATGCCCTGGATCGCGCGGGCTCCGATCAGCATCCTTTGGGGGTTTTGTCAGTCGGTTGTACGGTGCGTCATGTAAAGGGGTGGGAAAATAAAACGAATGTAAAAAATAAAATATAAAAAAACCCCCGAATAAAAACAAAACAAGACAAGATCCTTACCCCATGCTCGTGGCCAGGCCGCAGATCAACGATCCGACCCAGAACACGCCGGCCGCCGACAGCAGTACGGGCTTCCGGCCCCAGATGTCGGAGATCTTGCCCCACGTCGGGACGAAGGCGGCGTTGGCGAGGAGGTAGGCGCTGCCGATCCAGACGTAGCCGACGTTGCTGTTGAACTCCTCGGCGATGGTGGGGACGGCGGTGGTGACGATGGTGACGTCCAGCGCCGCCAGGAACAGGGCGGCGCAGAGCGAGAGCACGATGAGCATGGTCTCGAGCTTCGTGCGGCCGGATTCCGGGTCGTCGTCGTTTCCGCCGGGTCCCTGCGCGTCGTCGTCGTCGCCGCCGCCGGACGCCGCCGCCTCCTTTGTCTCAGCAGCCGTGTCGCCCGTCGTCGTTGCGGCGGCGGCTTTGTCGTTTGACGGCACGCCCGCCTTGGCGTCTCCGGCGGTCACGTCTCCGCCGGGGCCATCATGAGGGCTGCGGATGGTTGCCGAGTCGGCACTGGTTGTGGTGGTTGAGCCGCGGTCGGTCTGCGAGCCGGCGGCGCGCCCGAGGTCGTCGACTTTTTCGTCGTCGTGGACCCCACGAAGGTCCTTTCCTACCATCGGCACTGATATCGGTCGTGTCTGACCGTTGTCGGAGTCGGCCAACGTGGGAGATGGAAATGCTTTGTTGACCCTCACACCGATGAACAGACGCGATGCCGCTGGTGGTTTTTTAGCAGTAAGATGAGAGCATTCAACTCGAACCAGTCCAGTCCAGTCTCGTAATTGGAGTATTTAAGAAAACGAAAGGAATCGTCACAGCACAAAGCGACGGATGATACTAGGGAAGGTTGACAAGCGCGCAGGAGGTAGAAGGGGGAGAGAGACAGAGAGAGAGAGAGAGAGAGGTGAAGTTGTCAAGAGACATGCCCGTCATCTTATTAATCATCGCGAAGGAGAAAAGGAAAGGGAAAAAAAGTGCCCAAAAAGGGGTTGGCGCGCGTAAACCAATCTGCGTGTCATAATCGATGACAACCACCTCCACATGCGCTCCAACCTGATCCCGGCTTACCCGGCCACATGGCGAGGGTGAGGAAAAGCGGGCATTTCTCGAGTAGTCTCGACGCAGCTTAGGCTAAGAGAGAAAAACAAAAGTGTGTGGGATGTGCCCGTGGCGTCTCTTCCGCGTTGGGGATCGAGACAGATGGGTTGAGGTCAAGGTCGATGGCCGATGCGTTGCCGCGTTGCCGAATCGGCGAAACTGTTTCGCTTGACTACATGGTAGATTACGTTTGCTCATTTTCATGTTTGGCATGTTTGAAGTGGGCGAATGCGAGCCCCCCTCGGACTCGACTGGACTCTACCCGCGCGTGACTCGTATGGTTCATCCTCTCGTGGAGTAGCTAATGAAGGGCAAAGCTCGGAGGTCGAGGAGGCCTTTGCTCGTAGACTCGGACTCCCTTGACCTTGTCGTGCTTCGGAAAATAACCGTATGAGATAGATGCCTGGCGTTTTGGTGAACGGCCAAACCCTGACTCGAGACCAGATCAGACCAGACCACCCAGATCCAACGCCCGCCGATCGACCCGGTCAGCGTACCGTGACCGCTTCGTGGCGGAGATGGTGCGATGCAAGGAAGCACCCCGCGCCAGCCATGTGCTTATTCCCCGCACTCGGCGGCCCATCTTAGCACGCCACAGAAGGCTTATTACCCTCTCAGTAAGTTGTTGGTGCAAATCGGCGGCTCTCTGGATCTTCATCTCATCACATATATCAAGACCTTCTGAGAAGGCTGAGGGGTTGGAAACTCGGTTGAGAAACCGGCGGCATCGGGAGGACGGCCGAACTCTCGGCGATGCCTCTGAATCCTTTGAGCGGGCACATAAAAAGAGTCCTTCTTTGCAGACTTAATGCTTGGTATACTGTGCTCTCAAGCCAGCGCTTTACATGATATGATGCAGGGCATTGAAGGTGAAGGTCGAATCGAGAGGATGATGGATCGTAGGACGTAGTAATTCATAATACACAGATGACAGTCTATAGTGAACCAGGCAGAGTGTGGGTCTCATAATTGCCCCTTGGGAGAAGCTCGCATCTCAAGTGGTAAAACTCAACTCAAAACCGGCTCAAAAGCTTCCATCTCACTCACAATCCAGTAGTCTCAGCCTCATCTCACTCGGCCCCAACAATCCACTCGCTGCCGGGGAGCTTTCCGCTTCCACGAAACTCTCCTCGCCATTGTCTTTTGCTCCATGGGCTAATCACACGCATGACCATCTCATAAATAAAACAATCCCGTTTCTCCCCTTCTCACACTCATGAAGCTCTTCCTCCTACGACACGCCTCACCCGCATCTCACCTCGTCAGATACCCGACCACCCGGTTCCTCACCACCATGTCTTCTTCCCCCCCGACGTCGACGTCGCGGACGTACGCCGACGCCCTCGACCTCCTCAACACCCTCATCCCCAACACAAAGGTCCACGCCCTCTTCGGCAAGCCCCAGGACCCGAAGCCGCCGCCCCAGACCGTCGCCCCGGGGAGGTCCACCCCGCCGCCGCCGCCGGCCTCCGACCCGAACCTCCTCGCCATCCCCGAGATGCGCGCCTGGCTCCTCCGCGCCAACCTGACCCCGCAGCGCCTCTCCGCCCTCTCGTGCGTCCACATCGCCGGCACGAAGGGCAAAGGCTCCGTCGCCGCCCTCACCACCTCCGCCCTCCTCGCCTCCGCCCGTTCCGGCTCCCGGCCCCGGTCCCCGGCCGCGTCGGCACCTACACCTCCCCGCACCTCGTCACCCCGCGCGAGCGCATCGCCATCGACGGCCGCCCCGTCTCCCAGCCCCTCTTCGCCGCCGCCTTCTTCGAGCTCTGGGACCTCCTCTCCGCCTGCCCCGCCGCCGCCGACGACGACGACGGACCCCTCGCCGGCCTCCCCGCCGGCGCCAAGCCCTTCTACTTCCGCTTCCTCACCCTCCTCGCCCTCCACATCTTCCTCCGCGAGGGCGTCCGCTCCGTCGTGCTCGAGTGCGGCATCGGCGCCGAGTACGACGCCACCAACGCCGTCGTCCGCCCCGCCGCCGGCGCCGCCGTCACCGCCGCCGTCATCACCCAGCTCGGCGTCGACCACGTCGCCATGCTCGGCGACACCCCCGAGGCCATCGCCTGGCACAAGGCCGGCGTCATGAAGCCCGCCGTCCCCGTCTTCACCCGCCGAATAATGCCAAGGCAGGGAACGGTTCGCAGTAATCGCCCTCGCTTCGCACCGGAAGATCACTGCGAACTGCCGACCAAAGTACTTAAACCCTCCAAACACTAACTAACATATAAGTGTGCTTGAAGTTCTAGATACTAACTAAACTAATGGGGTACAAGTGCCGTTAGCAAGGATATGCATGCCGAGCCACTCGCACACGCTGGACGTGGGCTCGC